GCACCTGGGGATTCCAGTGGCTGAGAAGCTGGATGTCAGTCAACAGTGTGCCCTTGTAGCCAAGAAGGCTAATGGGATATTAGGGTGCATTAGGAGGAATTCTGCCCCCCCCCCACCACCACCACATGCACACACTATAGAAAGGATGTGGATGTATTGGAGAGGGTCCAGCGGAGAGCGACCAAAATGATTAGGGGTCTGTAGCACATGACCTATGAGGAGAAACTGAGGAATTAGGGTTTGTTTATCTGCAGAAGAGAAGAGTGAGGGGGGATTTGATAGCAGCCTTCAACTTCCTGAAGGGAGGTTCCAAAGAGGATGGAGAGAGGCTGTTCACAGTAATGATGGATGGTAGAACAAGGAACAATGGTCTCAAGTTGTGGTGGGAGTGGTCTAGGTTGGATATTAGGAAAAACTATTTCACTAGGAGGGTGGTGAAGCACTGGAATGGGTTACCTAAGAAAGTAGTGGAGTCTCCATCCCTAGAGGTGTTTAAGTCTCGGCTTGACAAAGCCCTGGCCGGGTTAATTTAGTTGGAATTGGTCTTGCCTAGAGCAGGGGCTGGACTTGATGACCTTCTGAAGTCTCTTCCAGCTTTATGGTTCTATGAATCCCAGAACACTCTTGTGCAAGTCTTTTTCTTCTCAATCATATTTACAGATTGTTAGCTTGTCTCCTGTTAATACCTCAAGAGAGATGTGAAAAGGATGATCCTCTTCTGTGATGTATCAGAGTTCTAGTGTGTGTTCAAATACTGCAGGAGTGCATGTCAGGTAGAAGAAGGAGAAACTTGGATCCAAAGGCTTCCTATCTGTAGATCTGTTTTCATTGCATAATAGGATTGTTTTAAGGTAACAGTTTGTCCTCTTCAGAATTGTTCTTTTCTTGATCAGGGCTGTCACTAATGTAGAAATAATTTTCTGCTACCTCCTGGTACAGAGTGATATACTTGGAAGCTTTCCTTGTCTGTGGTATCACAAATCTTTCTGTGAATTCACTTTTACTTGTTGGCTGCTTACCTTGTGCAGCCAAAACACAATTAATAAATGTTAGCGCGTAGGTGTAACAGTTGTGGTGGTGTTCATCATACCTGTGAAACAGAAAAACAGGTTAATAAGACAAACTAGTTCTTTAAATAGTGTGTGTAAAAGAGGAGATAATATTTTATGGGTGGAGATAAAGAAGCATACATCTTCCCAAAATGCTTAAATTCTCTTCATATTAGTACTTAAATGCAGTTGTAATAATGAATATCCATCTGATGCTCTGAGATGCTGGAAAACTGGGGGCATAAAAAGTACATTCTACAGCTCTAATGTATCAATAACAAATTCCAATGTTTAAACATAAAATGTGTAGCTTTTACCAGTTGCTTCCCCTTGTTAACTGCCACACTTTTATCCTGTTCAGAAAGCTATCACTGAACCAATTATGTGAATTTTGTCATGACAGACCACTCTTTCACTGTGGTATTTACTTAGAAGCATAGTTTAAACCAATTAAATATTATTATGTTAATCTAGGGACATATACTCTGTGTTTTATATTCCCATTGGCAATACTAAATTGCACATATAGTGCAAGGGCAGAAACACTTTTTAGTAATTAATTGAAATGGAGTTTAGAACACTTTAAAGATAAATTAACATTCTTATATGATCTTTCCTCCATTTTTAACCAGAATATTGTTCTTCAAAGTTAGTTGGACAGTCCTGTGGAACCACCTAAGCTGAAAGTAGGTTGCAAATATCTTGTCCTTTCATCTCTGGAATATTTCTTAACCTCACTTATAAGTTAATAGTGTGTTTCCTATGAATTTTCACAGCAATAGCAGTCAACTTGAATATGTCATGTCTTCCTCCCCCTGCACAGCTGTTTGTCTTACTGCCTCCTGTAATACTGCACTTGTCCTCCTGTAAACCCCTGCACAGACCTGCTGCTCTGTCCCTTACCAGATTCTATGCCCTGTTCAGAGGCAGTTCCCATTCCTACAGAAATCCAGTCATCTGCAGACCTGTAGCATGGAGGACTGAGTCAAATTCAAAACTTTCTGCTATTTATTTTCAAAGCTCTTCTGCTTTTATTCATGATATAGTTATAACCTCTGATTTCTGCTTTGCTAAACAAGTTATTGCCTGAATATATTCACGGTCTCCCACTGTTTGGATGCCTATAGTGTGCTTGGGCCCACCCCACAAAGCACATACTTAAGTGTTTTTGTTGCATCAATGTCATAAAGGAACACTGGAAAATAGGTGCCCTTGCTGTTCGTTGAGGATGACTAAGGGATTTTTGTTTGCCATTCTTTTATTTATAACAAATGACTCTTTATCACATTAATAACTTTCAAATGTGTTTTTAAATTACCACCTTTGAATGGGAAATGGGGCCTGGTATTACAGTCTGCTGGCCAAAATAAAGTTGCCCACAACATAAGCTACTGGAAGTTATCTATGTCTGACTCAATTGCCACTCCTGCTGTCTCTTGCATTTATATATTCCATTAACAAAAGTAGCAGGAGGAACCATCCACTGCATGTCATTTTTACTCTTCCAGTAAAAAGCAAGGTATAGTTTAATGTCCCCCCACAGAGAAATGAATTTAAATTAAAAGAGGGAATTAGATATTTTGCAGCATCCTCTACATTACCAAGCAATAAATAAAGTGTGTAGGCTTCCTTGAAACACAGCACATGGGTCTTTTCCACAAATGTTTAATTTAGATGTAAAGCTAAGACATCATGGCTTATTCTGCATTCCATTACAGTTCTCTGTTACTTCAATAATTACCCCCAAAGTGCCCTATTCTGTTAGCAGAGGTGTTGATTTTCAAGTGGTTTTGTAGGCAGGGATTATTCAGACTGACTCCTATATGACTGGGTAAATCAATCCTGGTTGTGAACCACAAATTTAGTAGGATCTAATGCTGAATATCCCAGTCATCAACCTTTAATAATTATATTCTGGTACATGTATGTGATAGACTACATACCTGTGAAAAAACCAGGCCTCTCCAGTAGAGAATTCTTCTAGGTACTTATCCCACTGGTTAAGCAGTCCATACATGTCTGGCTGCACTAGTAAAATACTAATGCATTGTTCCCACCCATGTTCAACTCTATGAACCCCCGTTTCATTGTAATTATACACCAAACCTGGAAACATAAACAGCAGCAGATTGTTAGAAAGGGAGGTGAATCAGAAATAAGGTTCCACTGATATAAGATGAGATAGCTAGTTACAATATTTAGTTCCATAATGGCACTCTTCATGACAGTACAGTAATTACTGCAGCCTGCAAACCATTATTTTTCCCTAAAACATCATATTCTGGTATGTCTAATCTCGATTAGGGTTGTAAGTGAGCAATCAACTACCCAATAAGCCTAGGCTTATCAGACAGTTGAATCGACTACTCACATTCCCTCCCTTGCTGTGTAACTCCCCCCACTCCTTGCTGCTGCCACTGATACTGAGGCAGCAAGAGTGGGGTAGGAGAGGCTGCTGCGAAGCAGCCTCTGTTCGTGGTGGGCACAGGCTCACCATAGGCAGAGACTGCTTAAGTAGCTCAAGCAACAGCCCCTGTCCTCTGACCAGCCAGCCCAGGCCACCGCAGACAGGAGCTGCTCCAGCCAGGCAGGCAGCCTGGCTCAGTTCTTGCTCTTGCTACGTCCAGGACCAGACCCTGCTGCGGCTCTGCAATTTAAAATGCAGTAGGAGCTGAGCAGCCTGCCCCCGAGCTCCTACTGTGTTTTAAATTACAGAGCTACAGCGGGCTTTTGACCCAGACCTGGCACGAGCCAGGACTGAGCCAGGATGCCTTCCCCTATTGACTAAATGAGTAGTCGATAAAAAATTCTCTCAACTACTCGATTAGTAAATTAACCTCATTTTAACATTCCTAATCTTGATCATGAAATTGTTCACATTTTTATACTGTAATTTCAGTTTGCATTTGTTGAAAAAGCAGTGACAAATAAATCTGACCTAAAACTTAAGATTCTGAAAAATAACCTTTTGCAAAATAGAAATCCAAAAGCTTTTTTTAACTCCAGATTTAACAGATTTTCTTTTAAAATAAATAAATGTTCCTCTGCCAAATTTGCAACCCAAACATAGAAGCCTAGTGCTAGTAGAGGAGAACCTAAAATGAAATGAAACAAGGAAGGCTGAAAGAATTGGGTTTGTTTAGTTTAGAAAAGAGAAGATTGAGGGGGGACGTGATAGCCGTTTTCAGGTATCTAAAAGGGTGTCATAAGGAGGAGGGAGAAAACTTGTTCATCTTGGCCTCTGAGGATAGAATAAGAAGCAATGGGCTTAAACTGCAGCAAGGGAGGTTTAGGTTGGACATTAGGAAAAAGTTCCTAACTGTCAGGGTAGTCAAACACTGGAATAAATTGCCCAGGGAGGTTGTGGAATCCCCATCTCTGGAGATATTTAAGAGTAGGTTAGATGGATGTCTATCAGGGATGGTCCAGACGGTATTTGGTCCTGCCCTGAGGGCAGAGGACTGGACCCGATGACCTCTCGAGGTCCCTTCCAGTCCTGGTATTCTATGATTCTATTAAATAATCCAGAGACTATAAATTAAAGTAAAACTGACCTCTATTTCCATTGTCCAAGATGAAAAAAAAACTAATAATAATCAGAGAAATTATGATAGCCTGTAGGCAAGGACCTCTTTTTAAAAATATTTTTTAATCTGACAAGTGCCCCCTTAATTTAGAATGTGCTTAAAAACCAGCAAAACAATTCAGCATGCTTTGACTCTCATTAAGGCATAGTACAAATGGGCTGCCTACTTATTAGTTCTTTGTGCTAAAGATGGACAAAATGGGGCTTTGCTTGATTTTGAATGTGGGTTCCATTTTTGTCTGTACTTCCAAAATTTGTGGGGTTTGGAAAGGATAATATTAAATGATTCTGGTTTGGGGTTCTCTTTGCTCTGTAAAACAGAATCCTGAATTCAAGTGCTCAGTTTTGGTGAAAGCCTAGCTCCATTAAAGTTAATGCTAAATTTCAGTAGTGCCTGGATTTCACTGCAGATCTCTTGTAATAAAGGGAAATGTTTTTTTTTCTTTGGCAAGTCTCATGTGTTACCTAACAATCCAGAATTGACTGGCTCAGATGTATTCAGCACTCACACAGAAAAACTATTTTTTAGCCCCAAATGTCAGGTCACGAGGGTAGAGGAGTAAAGCCAAATCTAAGATATACATTGCAAATCCTATTAAAGTACGTACACAACTTTTAAAAAAAGTTGATAAATTAACTTCAAAGCCCTTATTACCGTTAGTATTGGTTATTCCGACATGGAGATCAGAGCTTCCATTGTATCCTCTGAAAGAAAAAGGGGAACGTTTTCATTGCTGTGCTTAAAAGAAGCACCTGGGATCTTTTTCAGGGGGATAAGGCAACACAGCACATTTATTGAACATACATAGATCAATCAATACTTATCATATGCATATGACACATTATACTCATGCACTCTCACACACGCACAAGCACACTCAGTCTTGTTGTTACCAAAGTTGCTCCCCCTCACTGCACTGGCCAGGTGAGTTAGATGGGGGAGGGGTGGAGCTAGGCTTCTGCCAATCCGGATCGATGCTCCCATGTTGACAAGACAAAAACCTGGGGTCCCTCTGCAAAATGCCTCCTATTTATCCCTCTCATGCAGCCAATTAGTCATCACCTCGCCTTTCTTAACGCTGCTTCAGAGAGAGTTCTTCCAAGGGCAGGCACTTGCTGCTGGACTCCCAAGGCATCTGTATGTCCAGTCTTCTTCATGAGCTCACTTTACAGGTATTGTCTTGGATCTGGCTCCCAGACCTTCTCCACCCTTGCAACTGCTGCTGGAGGTGCTCCCCTTTCATTCTCCATTCACACCTCATTCATTTCAACAGGACGATCAAGGAAAGGGGAGAGCTCAAAAGACATTTTTTATCATACAAGATCTATGTATCTTAATACAAAGGTATAGGAGAAATGTTACAGAGATTCTATAAGAACACTTAAAGATATATCCAAAAGGACAAGATCTTAATACAAAATATAATATTACAAGGATTTCTCCACATCATGACTGAGAATTCATTATTTCTTGTAGGTATTGCTGGGCTTTAACTCTCGAACACAAACATTTTTACTGCTTTCCCCTCCCAGTCTATTAAATATACCCTGAAAAGGCTCTTTTCCCTCTTAGTAGCTCATAGGCGCTACAACAGGCCTGAGCAAAACAATCAGTTTTTCATTTTGTACAAGTATATGGACCTATGTTAAAGTAGATGTATATGTTAGTACAGCTTGAACCTCTCTAGTCTAGCACTCTGGACTTGACTGTTGAACCAGAGAGTCTGCCAGACCACGGTAGGTCAATGTTGTCTAGCAGCACTACCAACACTTTCACTGCTTACTGGTGGCTGTAAACAAACTTTATGGGACCACAGGACATTTGGCTATCCCTGTGATAAGTTGACATCCGGCTAATTAAAACCATGCCGGACCATGGATATTTCCGGACCAGAAAAGTCTAGATAGGTTCAACATTTATCAAAATTGCCATTTTTGTTCACTAAGCATTTTGACTGAGGCCCCGTAGTGAACTGTGTATTGTCATCTCTAGCAATAATACTTAAGCGTCGCTGAGTTTAAAAACACACTTTTAGAATATTTCAGAGATTATTACGGCATGAATAATGGCAATTGCATAGTAAAAATATCTACAAGGCAGACTAGCAGTTACATAGTAAGTACAAAAGCTAACAAATGGAGAAGTATTACATTAGAATTCAAATATATTTATACTTCCAATCCCACAGACAGAGACAAAGACCTACAGGATCTATATCAAGTATTCTTAAAACTAAAATACCCACCCAGAGAAGTGAAAAAACAGATTCACAGAGCCAGACGAGTACTCAGACATTAGCTTCTTCAAGATAGGCCCTACAAAGAAAACAACACAACTCCACTTATCATCTACAGCCCACAACTTAAACCACTCCAGCACATTAACAACCATGTACAATCTATCCTGGAAAATGATCCCCCTCACTATCACAGGTTTTGGGAGACAGGTCAATCCTTGCCTACAGACAACCCCCTAACCTCTAACAAATTCTTTCCAGCAACCATGAAACATACCACCATCATACTCACTCAGGAAAACCCCTACCCCACAATCAAATTCTGTCCACACATTTATACAAGCAATATCATCACAGGACCTAATCACATAAACCACCACATCAGAGGTTCATATAACTGGACATCCACCAATGTGATCCATGCCATCAAGTGCCAGCAATGCCCCTCTGCCATGTAAATTGGCCAAACTGGACAGTCTCTATGATAAAGGATTAATGGATGAAAATCAGATATTCGAAAAGGTAACACAGAAACCTGTTGGGGAATGTTTTAACTTGTCCGAGCACTCATTAATGAATCTCAAGTTTCCATATTATTACAAGCCAATTTCTAACACCAGCCTGAAAGGGAGACTGCAGAGTTTAATTCAATTTACAAGTTTGATATCTACAATAGAGGTTTAAACAAAGACCTTAACTGGATTACCCGCTATACTCCACATCCTAGTGACATAAAAAGCCAAACACTGGATACTTAAGAGTACTTAGAACACAGTCTATCAACTTCATTTAGCATGGACACTCTGACTATTCTTTTCCCATTTTTTCTCCTTTCCCTCCCCATCCCCTCTTTCTCTGCTATTTATTAGGAATCTGGACCCCTTAAACTCCATTTATCTGAAGAAGTAGGTTGTGCCCACGAAAGCTCATGATACCATCTACTTTTTGTTAGTCTCTAAGGTGCTGCTGGACTATTCATTGTTTTTAAAATGTATGCCTATAGGACTCCTTGCCAGAGAAATTTGTGAAAACCAGGACTTTTAACACCATTCAAAAAAGAACTAGATAAATACATGGAAGTTAAGTCCATCAATATTTATTAGCCAGAATGAGTAGGAATGGTGTCTGTAGCCTCTGTTTGTCAGAGGGTGGAAATGGATGAGAGGAAAGGAATCACTTGATGGTTCCTATTCTGTTTACTCCCTCTGGGGCACCTGGCATTGGCCACTGTCAGAAGACAGGATACTGGGCTAGATGGACTTTTGGTCTGACCCAGTATGGCCATGCTAATGTTCCATCTAGCCACTATGCAGGACAAGCTATGGATACCCAACCTACTCTTACTGTGTACAACCTTCATTGTGAGACTGATTAGTCAGCAAATTTCAACTGAAAATACAGAAAACGATTGTAATAATTTGTGAGATACGTTGACAATTAAGAATACGCAATGTAACAACATTTCATCTTATTATATTGCAAATGTTGATAATCACCATCTTTGCAACATGCTAAAAAACGTAATCACTTCCAGAGAAAAAAAAATTTGCCTAGGCTTTTGTTTGGTAGCTTTGACCAGTAAATATTAAAGGTACTGAAATTAATTTAAACTGTGCAAAACCACTACAGCTGCAGTTTTTAAGGTGCCTGGAACAGTGTAAAATAAGGATTTTAAGAGATGGGTAACTGACTAAATCATGTACTGTAGTCAATACAATTTTTCGATTAGTCAATAAGGGAGGGCATTCTGTACTGGCTGGCACCAGTCTAGGAGCTAACCTCACCGTGGCTCTGCAGTTTAATTGTAGTAGGAGCCAGGTATGCAAGCAGCCCGGCTCCTGCTACATTTAAACTGCAGAGCCGCAGCGGGGGTAGGCCCCCAACGGGTGCAAGCTGGGACTGCTGCTGCTCTGCATTTTAAATGTAGTAAAAGCCAGGTGGCCCTTATTACATTTAAGATGCAGAGCCGCAGCAGTTCTGGACCAGGGCAAGCCAAGACTGAGCTGGACTTGCTCAGTCCTGGCTTGCACCTGGTCCAGCAGCCCCTGTCTATGGGGTATCTCAGTGGGGAGCTGGGACCCCTCCTGTGGACATGGGCGGCTGCTGCTGCTGCGAAGGAGGCTGCCATGAAAGAGGATGAATGAGGAACATCATTCAGTTTGACTTAATTGAAAAGTCATTCTTTAAATTACCATCTGAGCATGAACACTAACATCTTTCCCTTTAAAGGAGAAAACTGGCATATGTCTATAACTCTTTGTTTTAAGTATTTAGAATCTTTCAACATCATCTTTAATTCTACTATTTTATAAAATAAATTACATATTTTCTTCAAACAAAAATATATAAAATATTAAATGAGAATTCCCCCTATGTAATCAGTAATACAACATGATCCAAACAACCATAAAAATTAAAACAGCCATGTTCACATACACCAGCTGTTCAGTTTGGTACATATTAGAAAAATTGCCAAGAAAGAGATATATTCTGAAATTTTACTCAGTTTCTGCTCAAGGAGTTACCCGGGAACATTTTACAGACCCGAATAGTTCCACTGGCTTTGGTGGAACACTATTTGTAGTGTTAGGCCCTGGAAGCAGTAAATATATTAACACAACAAAATGCTGCAAGCAAACATTAGGAAACACTTCATTTAGCAATGATAACAAAACTAAAAATATCCATACCTAAGAAATGTTCCTGTAGTAGGTGTAAGTAAAAATGAACATTTCTGCCTATGTCCGTTGACAAAAGGGCTAGGAATGCTGACAGGTGCATCTTCTAATCTCCTGAAGTTTAGACTCTGCCCACAAATAGGGCAGAGCTCGGGCACGCAGGAGCAAAATATGTCCTTCTTACAATGGCTGAACTTAACTAAACCTTTCTCTGAGTCCAAGGACTGCATTGTTTTCGCCAACTACTTGTACAAATAGAAGCTTTCTGAAACTACCTTCTTTAGCTGCCTACAACAATCTCACTCAGGGTTCAGGTGGATCACTGCATTAGGAATGGATGTTATTCAGTGATGTCATACAGACTGACAGCCCACTTAACCACTCACTGTTAGGATAATTAGTAACTGGAGACAGTGTTCAGACAACCTCTTAAAGAGCTAGTGCTCATTTTAATATTATATTAAGAATTGGGTTGAGAAGTTTTACAGTGAGAATATATACATGGTTTTGCTTTGGTTCAGTTCTCGATCTTCCCCTCTAGGTCTCTGTACCTGCTAGGTTTTACAATTAGCATTTAGTATACAAGAACATAAATGCTCATCAACAGTACAGAAAATATAGGTTGAACAAGCTTTGTTCCTTGATATTAAAGCTGAATTGTTTGCAACATCTCCTCTCTGTAGACTCTAAAACAACAAAAAAGATTTCTCAGTTCCAAGAATGGTATTGTCCATAATGTTGCTTTTCTAGTAATAATCTAAAGCGGTTATCTCTATTTCAGCTTGAATTTTGTGTCTATACATAGCAATCTTCACTATCATTTGCTTTATAAGCTAATGTAATAGATACAGGGCCAAACTGAACCCTGGTGTGATTCCAGGGATTCTGGTGTGGGGCTGGAGATGAGAAGTTCAGAGTGTGGGTGGGGGTTTGGGATTGTAATGGAGATTATGGTGCAGAGGATGAGGGCTATGGCAGAGGGTGCAAGCTATGGAGTAGGACTGGAAATGAGGGTGTGGGTTCTGGGTTGGGACTGAGGAGCTGGGGTGAGAGCTCTGGGAGGGAGTTTTGGTGTGTGTGTGTGGGGGGAGGGAGGGAGTACAGCAGAAGGGAGGGGTGCAGATTCTAGACACTGTTTACCCCAGGTGGCTCCTGGAAGCAACCGGCATTTCCTTTAGGCTCCTATGCAGAGGCATGGCTATGCAGCTGAATATCCCACTATGACAACTAGGGATATAATAATATAATCAATTAACTGATCAGCAAAATCTTACAAATTAATGCTATAGACTGCCCCCCCCCAGTTAATTTTTTAGCAAGCTGGCCAGCAGCCTGGCTCAGTCCTGGTTCACGCTGGATCCAGGCCCTACCCTCGCTGCAGCCCTGTATTTAAAGTGTATTAGGAGCCAGGCAGGCAGCCTGGCTCATTCCCAGCTTGCACCAGACCGGGGAGCTCACACTTGCCCTGCTGCCGCCTCAGTATCAGAAACAACAGGGCAGGGCGGCAGGCCGCTGGCCCGCCAGGGGAGCTGGTTTTAAAGTGGCTCCTCTCATGGACTAGCTCCTGCCTGGGCCTCTGCCCCGGAGCCAGGGAGCTCGCCTTAGGCCCACTGCACTGCTGGCACCACTGAGTCTACCAAACGGGGCTGCCTCGCCCAGGGCGCAGGGGCAGCGCTCTGCAGCTACCTACGTCGGTGGGCGGGGCCGGGCAGCCTTGGGGTCGCGGCCTAGCGGGCGGCCTTCCAGGCCTGGTGTCTATGACGTGGGCAGAGGGCGGCCTCCGTGCCAATGGCTGAGGAGGGGGGCGCTCTAGCTCCCGGCAGGCAGCTCTATGGTTCGCGGAAGCGGCGCTCTGGCCTCTCCCGCTGGCTCTATGGCTCAGCCCGCTTGTGAATAGTTCCCCGGGGGCCCCGGGCGCCCTCGG